TATCCATCAGATTTGTTTTATCATACGAAGGGATCTCTTGAACTTAAATGATAGAAAGAAGAAATGTTTGCTTTCAAGACAGCTATACTTGGGAGCAGCCTCTCCATAAATGGGGGTAAGGCTAGCCGACATTCACCTCTCCTAGACCCTGCGTAAAGCGGGAGCCTTGTGCACTGGGTACGACCTTTTATACTTGATCCAATTGTGCCAACTAAACTGGGAATTAGAATCATAATTCACTAACAACAATATATATATATATATATACATAGATATATTCTGCACTGGACTTGTAAGTTGGAACTATTTTACCCCATGGCAGTGCTTTGCTATTTAGGTTGCCACTAGCCCAGATATATTATGATTAGGTAGATTCTCAAAAATCAAGTCATACAAAAGCAATTGCCAACTGTCTTAATTACAGGTTTAGTAAGAGGAGAGTACAATACATACAGCTATGCTTTTGCTCTAAAAATAGTTGAAACGCGCCAAGTTCTGCAGAGTTTTCTGCATTATGGTCTATAATTTTGTCGAAATTAAAAAGTTGACGAAGTTAAATTGTTTTTAAATTACAAGAGTTAAATCGCGATAACCAAAACTATAAACGCTCAAATTACAAGGACTAATTAAAGTAGTAATCTGTGTTCAATTTATTTGGGTATATATTCACTTATTTGGGGTGAATAGTAGTACGGAATGAGAGATGTAGGAGGGTTGCTACACGAGATGAGCCAGCTAGAAATGTTTCGGAAGGTTGCTTAATAAGAGAGCAACGACCAAACAAAAGAGTACATGGTGTGTTCGAGTTGTTGAGGAAATCTGTCATTAGGGTTGCACAGTTCTTATTGGGTGGCATAACTAGGCGATATCAAAACACATAAGTTTTATGTTTTTGTGAGAAGTGTCTTACAAATGATACGATCAAACATATCTTGCTCAAGTTTTTCACCTAGAGTTGAGACTTGAGATTAACCACAAAATGCTTGTATAAAATGCTTGGAAAAAGATAGAGAGTGGAAAGTGAATTTTGTGTTTTACCTCATAAAACTCGACATTAACACTCTTTTCGTGAATAAGATCGATTATCTGGACCTCATGTTTTCTGTTCTAGTGCACAAGTACTACTCTTGATAAATTAACTTAAGCTATAACTAAGTAATAATTACATTTAAATATGGAAATTTGAAGTCACATTCTAGGTCATCAATAGATCATGTTGAAATTCTTTTTCTTGTTAGTTGCAGCAACATCTATACGGAAGTTCTACCAATCATAAAAACTAACAAGAGATTTAGATCTATAAAAATGTTGATAATATTATATTAGCCTATTTGAAAACTGACTTAAAAAAGGCACATCCCTAAATAACTGAATTTTTTTACCCAAAAATGGGTGAGTGGAGTTTCGTCTTGCACGAAAATCATGCGTATTTGCATCGGGATTAGGTGCCCTCCAACCATAATCTATTGTCAGTTACACTGATAAGAGAAGTTTTTGAGTGTGCCGGATGAGAACATGGGTCGATATACAAAGTATCATGACACAATTAGTTGAAATCGTTTTCAAGTTTTCATCTAATTATATTAATTGTTATACTTGGTGTAACAGATAGTGTTCTCGACACACTGAAAAATCTCTAAATTGATAGACATAAAAGTTTCATAACACTAATCAAACATTAAACAAGTTAGGCAATGGTTATTCATGCCTTCAATTTGTCATTGTGTAATCTGAAATTAATATTTTACTATTTTAAAGTAACCCTCACGGAAGAAATGCATGATAACGTACAAATTGAGAGTGTGAAGTGAATCTTGTTTTCCTAAACCCTAATTAATATCATTCACTTGAAGCATTACAGCTAGAAGATCATTTGTCAGTGTATACAGAGAACACATCTGGTACACAAATGTAATAATACAATTGGTTGAAAACTTAAAAAAAAAACAAATTTTCAACCAATTGTATTATTACACGTGCACCGGATCATGTGTTCGGCACACTCAAAAAATTTATTTCAACTAGAACGTAGAAATGGACAGTGTATATACGAAGCTTACGGGAAGAAAAGAACACCAAGGAGAGTTGAATGAGGGCGATCATGTTACTTTCTATTGGGTAAAACAAAGTCGGCCTGTATAATTTCTTGGGGGTTTAAACCCTAATACATGAGAGTAATACTAAAAAGACTAAATTTGTAGACTAAATTTTATAAACTAAATGACATAGAAGTTGATGATTGAATTATTACTTAAACGTTGTAATACGTGCTCATTTTTTATTAATGATACATTATTTAGTTTGTAAATTTAGTCTATAAATTTAATTTTTCTGACATTATTCTATAGAAAATATTGCCTAGAAAGTAAAAAATACCACGTACGTTATTGCAAAGTTCAAAATCCTCCCCCATTCTTTTGCAAGTAAAGAAATAGCTGTGCAAACCAAACCCGACCCCACCCCACCCCACCCCACCTATCTCTTTCTCTCTCTACTCACACCTCTCTCTCTCTCCTCCCTCCAGTATATAAGGAGCTAACACTGCCGTTCTCTTTGCTCATCAAACAATTATAACCCTACTTCCATTTGGCATTTTCAGCCCTCTAGCTCCCCAACAAGCATATTATCAGCTGTAGCTAGCGAAGTTCGGTTTACATCGATCAATGGCGTCGTCAGGATCGTGGACGGCGAGGCAAAACAAGTTGTTTGAGAATGCTCTGGCGGTTTACGACAAGGACACGCCGGAGAGGTGGTACAATCTCGCGAGGGCTGTGGGTGGCAAATCAGTTGAGGAAGTGAAGAGGCACTATCAGATGCTTGTAGAAGATGTGAACAAGATTGAGGCTGGTGAGGTGCCTTTGCCTAATTACAGAAAATCTGGTGGAGGAAACACTAAATCATATTCCATGGATATTGAAGAACAGAGGTAAATTTATAATCTCTTTTAATTCCTGGAGCTACATTCATTTATACAAAGGAAAATACTACACTTCTAAAAATTTGGTTATAGTTATTTACCCATATATATATATATATATGTTTATAAATAGTTGAGCTACTCTCTATATTGTCAATTTGTTTTATGATGAAACCTCAACTTTTTTAATAGTATCAGAGTAGGTTGTCATGCGTGTGCCACATGTGTTCCACGCCACCTGATTTGCATTGTCCTCATTTTAGACTTGAAAATTCGTTACACGTGAGGGGACGTGTTGAAAGTATAGATTTGGATATATTATCCAAATTGTTAAGTTCATCCATAAATCTTTTACACATCAAAGTAAAAAATAAAAAAATTGGGTGGATTGGTATGAATTTATCACAAATGCAATTTTTTTTCAGTTAGTATAGCTTCACACCAAATCCCTCTAGACCCCAAACTTCCATTTCTCCAACCTGCTGTCCCCCTTGCTTGGTGCTTCCTCTAAGGGGTTGTTGTGAAACAAGTGCACAATGTCTATTGGAACGTCCATTTATTTTATCATATCAATCCCATATCAGAGAAATGAGAGATATTGCATGTGCTTATAAGTAATTGAGCTACTTCCCCATATTGTCGATTGATTTTATGATGAAACCTCAACTTTCTTCATAATTGAACCATACTTTAAAGTTTGGTTATTTACATATCGTAGTTGTATCATGAAATTAAATAGTGTACTCATTCTATATCTACATTCATTTTTTCTTGTTCAAAGCAAATGTATACGCATGAATCACCAACATGGCGTAACAACTTCACATGTTTTAACACATAGAATATTAACACATAAAACACGTGATATAACAATAACATGATCCCAAGCTGGAAAAAAAGTTTTTATATATTCAAAGAGATGAATGTTTCATGCTTTCCCCCCTGTACCACAGATGATCTTAATTATGGTTTTCATGCAGGATGAAGACTCTAAGAATTCAGTGAAGGAGAGCAACCCAGATCAGTTCGTAGATGGGAATAAAGATTCTTAAGTTTCAACATAAAAGAAAATGCAGAACCGTCGAAGTAACAATATATATAGACGACAAGAGTCTAATGTGATTAGTTAATCTGTTGCAGTTTCCCCTTTAATTTTCCAAAAGTCATTATATTTTCCTTTCAGCTCCTTTGTACTAAGAAAAGGAAAAGAAACTCAGTTAATGACATGAATATAGAATATAGAATATGGTTGCTTTTCATGGATCTGGATTCTTTCCTCTCTTCAGTCTCTTTCTATTTGAACCTTTACGATTAAGTCACGTCAACATCTTATGTCTCTTTATAAAGAGAGAAAGACAAAGAAAGTGAGAGAGGAGGAGATGAGAGAAGATTTGAAAGTGAGAGAATCTTACGTGAATGAAGTTCAGTCAAAACCGTCGAAAGGTGGGAGTATCAAATTAAACCAGTACTTATCAAATGTTGAAAGAAGTGACACGATCATATCTTCAAGTTTGAAATATTGGTCGTCATCCCCCGCAATATATTATATATCATATTCATGAGGGACTCCATGGCAGCTTCTTCATTTTGCTAACCAAATAATAAAACTCGTATGGTGTGACCCAACTGAAAGGCCAAATTATGATCGTAGTCTCTTTTAAGGAGATAAAATTTTATAAACTAAATTATATGGAAGTTGACGATTGAAAGGTGCTAGCGACTTCCTCGCTGGCTCTTCTACTAATTTTGCAATTTGCGTGATATTTAGAATCATCTATTTTTTATTTGAACATCAACTACGCAAAAACTAATCAAATTGAAATTTTTTAACCGTTCGATTAACGTTATAAAAAATATAATATTTAACTTAAAATATGATTGTGTTGAAAAAACTTAAAGCATATTTGTATGCTTTTTACTGAGATGATCTTTAAAACCAAAACACAAAAAATAAACGGTTTGAATGATTGTGCAATATTCTTAAACAAAATTAAAAGAAATAAAAAAATCAAAATAAAAAAGATGAACAAAAAGGTTAAAACGACCTGAAATGTTAACCCTACTCGCCAAAAACGACCGATACAGAATCGTCGTACTTTGCAAAGACGGCATGGTAAAAACGCGCCTAAACGAGTAAACGGCGCGAAGAAAATAGCCAAACGCCGCCACAACTGCTTCTTCCAAGCTCCTAGGTATCGGACCGACTCGCCGGCTGACTCAGGCATGGAAGCCGATTCATCTTCCTTCAAGGTACGCGACTCACTCTCCGTCTACAGGCAGTTTCTTTTTCGCATTGCTCGGCTCCAAATTTTGAACTAAAAGCTAGGGTTTCGACGCGTTTCTGTTGCGACGATTTCAAACACGAAGCGTCGTCGTTCCCTCCTGGTTGGTTGCAGTAGAAATAGAAGCTTTTAGATGGTGGACAACACTAGGAGGTGGTTGTGGACTTGTAGTGCTGGATATTAGGGCACTGTTTGGTTGCAGCTGCTTCTGCCAAACAGAGTATTTGTGTTGTTCTTAGTTTAATGTGAAAATTGCTCTCATTATTCCACTGAAGCTATGCTAATCCCGGAGATGATGTTAATGTTAATGTGTGATTATGCAGATAATCTTGGGATCGGCTTCGATAGCACGCCGGAAAATATTGGCTGAAATGGGATATGAATTCACAGTCGTGGTGCTACCAATTGTTCCTCTGAAATATATAAAAACTAATTTCCCTGCTGATTTTTTGAAATTAAACTCTTGTTATTGCTTTAGACTGCAGACATTGATGAAAAATCCATCCGAACGGAAAAACCAGAGGAGTTGGTTTTGGTTCTTGCCAAGGCAAAGGTTTGGTGTTCATCTCCTTTTTATTGTTTTCCTATTGCGAATCTAACGCTAAATACTAATCGGCTGATTTGGAATTTGCTTCTTTTAGTTTAGCGTTGTTTTGATTTTAATTTCTTACATTGGCCGCGTATGAATATGCGTGTCAGGCCGATGCTATTATATCAAAGTTGCAAAGCATCAATAAACAAGAGAAGGATACTGAGCCGACAATTGTGATTGCGGCAGACACAGTATGTCATTTCTTTGTACATATTGTGTATACATCTATATGTATGGTATGATCACTCTGTATATCTACAAGAGGCATCTTAAAATCTGATATCACCTAGTGCCATTTATGGAGGAGATGTTTCCGTTTTTCTTTTTATTGAGGAAGTATCGTTTTTACAGTTTTAGACTTTTTTTGAAGGCTTAATTTGGGATTTTGACTGCATAACTGTGCAAAACTAGTTGAGAAGAAAAGAAAGATACTAATTAGTTGTGGTGCTCAACTAAATTCATGCTCGTAACTATAGGTCTTTCTTTCTGCTTGTATATGAGTGTCTGGAATTGTGTGTGTTAATGCTCCCTTTGTTGCAGTTGTTTGTTTACTGGATATTGTTAATAATGTTATGGCATTTTCTGAACTGGTTTCTCATTGAAATAGAATTGCTTACCTATCTAAGCTGACGGAAAATCTCAGGCAGAAGCCATTTCACAAAAGCTCCCAGTTGGGGACTACATAAAGGATGCCAAACCAACACTATTAGTTACTTCTGATCAAGTATACATCACATCTTATACCATATTTATAGTCTCTATACTCTTGTCACGTGTCTGTTGCATGTTGCGGATAATACACCTAAATGTATATATGGAATTTTTATCATACTCCATTCGCTTCCTTATATCCTGAAGAGGGTAAGGAAGAAAGTAATAAGTATAGGTTTAAAAAATGTTTGAAGTCAGTTATGTAAGATTCTAAGGACTGAGAAACTGTTAATCATGTAGAATAACTTCGTTGAGACCCATGTTTGGATGTTACTTGTTTTAGTTTCTTAGGCATGAATTGTGTGCTTTAGCTCTTTCTCCTCCTCGTGTTGATTCTTTATGGAGTATCCATTATATCTTCTGTTTATACCATACTTAGGGCCTCTGTATTTAAACCTTGTATAAATACTCGGGAGACTCAAATGTAATTATGTAATAAAGGAAGGGGCAAATATGTAATAAGTGAGGAGCCCTTATTCTATAAAAGGACTCCTCACCCCCCTCATTAAGGGAGGCCGATTCTTAGGCCTTAAGCTCCCTCATCCTCTCAAAGCTCTCACTCTCATATTCAGAGCTCTCTCCCTCAGAAATACAATATCAATGTGGACGTAGCCCAAACCTTGGGGTGAACCACGATACATCTTGTGTTATTTACTTTCTTGCAGATTCACGGTCGGATTTACATTGTTCCAAGACCCCTCCGGTTTTGTGCATCAACATCTTCTATTATGGATGCTCCAAGCATCAGCTTTGCCATACTCTTGTTTGTCTTTCAAACAAGGAATTTAGAGATTTATAAATTTCTAATTTATGAGTCCATGAACATTATTGGCCTATGGTGATATGACTTGTTTGTAAAACCAGGAGTTTAGAAATTTCCTTTTATGGGTCAGTGAACGTTAAATCTGTTATTTCTTACTCTTATTGTAAAATGATCTGGAGGTGGTGGTCTATGAAGGTGTGATCCGGGAAAAACCATCCAGCAAGGAAGAAGCACGGCAATTTTTGAAAGGTTGGCTTAACGGTTGATTTCAGTCTCTATCCCTGATGTTTTACTTTTTGACTCTGATGAGTTTCCTAACATGAATTGCAGATTATTCTGGAGGGCATGCAGCAACAGTAGGATCTGTGCATGTTACAAACCTTAAAACGGGATTCAGTAAAGGAGAATGGGATCGAGTGGAGGTACCCTTTTTTTTCAGTGAAACATAAAATTGATGCCAATGCTACAACTCCATTGATCATATCTATGGATAATATCTATTCGGGGTTCCTTGCAGATTTATTTCCATAAAATACCAGATGAAGTCATTGAGAAGCTGGTAAGAGTTGTTCTGTATCCTATTTGGTTGTTTCACTTCTTTCTTGATTTGATGACGACGATAGAACCCATTCCTCTGTGTCCATGTCAGATTGAGGAGGGGATAGTGCTCAAAGTTGCTGGGGGACTCATAATCGAACATCCTCTTATTCTTCCCTATGTCAAAGAAGTGGTTGGTTTTCTACTCTCTCTTCTAAAGTTGTAAACAATAGTCATTACATTTTGAGAATGCGAGGCAACAAAAGCATGATGGAGTCTATTTATGGTACCGTGTGTCTGTTTCATCCAGGAGCTTTTGTTTAATGAATCCTGCAAGCATAACCCATCGTGGTCGGATGTTTGATCTACTGATTACGGATTGTAGAGCCCTGTCTTTATAGTCATATTTGAATTGGTGTGGTGCTTGCAAGTAGGGACAACCGATAGCGTGATGGGACTTCCCATAGATCTCACTAGGACACTCCTGAAAGAGGCCCTCTAGCTGCAGCCGGAGATTTCCGCATTTTTATTTAACGGTACTTTATCTAATTGACGCGTATTTATGTTTCTTCTGTCGTTAGGCATCTGATCTCGTTTCGTTGAACTCTATAACTACCTGCTATTCGCATCTGTATCTGTTGTGAACTATATTTGCTTCCCGGATGAATCGTAGACAAGTTTGTTTATGTTTTGACATAGCTGGACTTGTATAAGCTTCTGCCTCGGTAGTACAGACCGATGTGAATGAGAAAGAGAAACACTGAGGACTCTGACGGTATCCTAAACCTATCATGCACTGCCATGCGAAATAATTAAGACGTGGTGCAGTCATACCGCCGGCATTCACGATATATTTCCACAGAGGAATTGTTAGGGTGTCTGTAAGGACCATTTGCAAGGTCTCGTTTTTCAATGGCGTAGATTGCTTTGCGGGCAGTGGACTTCTCCATTTGCAATGAAAGATAGAGGTCGGTGGATTCTTAAATTTGGGTTGCGACCTCTATCTGCATTCATAGATGGAGAGGTCCGGATAAAGCTCCCCCTGTATCCATCCAAACCCAAATAAACTATGCAACGAGTCTTTTTTTTTTGACATGCAAAATGCAGTCTAACACATATATCAAAAGCGTACGGTTAAAACTATAAAAAGAAAACGAAAAGTGTTTTGCAATCATGTCTTGTTCGGTTTCGTTTGTAAGTAGGAATGACTCTACATGTAGACGTTATAGTAACATGTGACTATAATTTTACAATATAAAGAAAACCAGAACCAAAGGGAAATTGAACAATGGAATGATATCCACTCCGGATCTTTGCGTACCGTGCCTGCGGATTGAGAGATTCAGATCGTTCAAGAGAGAGAAAGATATTTAGGTCGTTCAAGTTTTTAGATTTTTGTGAAGTGGGTCAATGAGATAGGCTAATGGGACTGCGTGATTAAATTAAGTAGTCTGAATTTATCGGTTCGGAGTTTGCAGGATCTCAATCCTTGATCAATAACAATTGAAGTACTTACTTTCAATTTAAACACACATTTTTGTCAACGATAGATGATGCTCATGTTTATCTAAAACAGTTTTGAAATATGCACTTACCTAATCCCTTTATAAATAAAATCTCACCCAGTTTCTTTCATCGGGATAAATAATGTAATTTTCATACAATTTAATTAGGCATACATAACGTTGTCTTATCGATTCAGATGACGTAATGATGTGAGAGGATGTAAGAAAGTCTAATTCCATTGTGATCTCTATAATGCAAGATCCATTGCTTACCTAAAATTGATTTGAAAAACTTCACCAAAAAAAAAAAAGTTTTGAAAAAGGTTACCCAAAAATATTTGTTTATGAAAAAATAAAAAATTAACTTTTATTAAAAATAAATTCTTCTTCGTTATTAGTCAAATGATAAGAATGAAAGATTTTTTTCAGTGTGCGAGAATATGTCATGGTATTTCAAGTATCATAATACAAGTGATTAAAATTTTTATTAACTATCCAACCACTTGTATAATAACACTTTGTGTACTGAAACATATTATCGACATACTGAAGAATTTCTCGCCCGAAGCCAGCTATTTGTATAGGAAAGGGATTCTCTCTGGATCCCTTCCTCCTAATTCATCAAAACTGGGAATCCATACTATTGAAATTTAATCCAACGGCTGAAATTATTATAACTTTTAAAATAGGCTCATATTTGTAGCCGTTGGATCAGTTTTCAACTGCGCGAATTCCTTAATTAGATGGATTAGGGGGGAGGAATTCGGAGTCCTTTCCATTGATATATTCCCAGTTTTCCCACGCATGACGTAACGGTTATTTAACCGTCAAGATCAATCACGCTCTCCCATTTCTCAAGTCCCTCCTCGTGATCTCATCTCCCACCACACAAAACCCTCCCCACTACCTTTCGGAGCTCGGGAGTCTCCAACTTCTCCGTCCTTTGCCGTACACCATCCGCCGCCGCCAGCATAATTATATTAATACGGTAATACCCCATTGCCCCACATGGCCCACATCAATTTATAAATACCCCTCTCAAATCGCTCTCTCTCGCTTCCCTCCAAAGCACAGAGAGCGACGACCTTTCTCACATACCCCCGGAAGCGGAGCCACCGGCCATGGACCCAGGCGGAGCAACCAATGTCGCCACCGCGCGCGGCGGAGGCGGTGAGGTCGGGGTCCGGATTCACCAAACCCGACGGCTCCCCGATTTCCTCCAGAGCGTTAATCTCAAGTACGTGAAATTAGGGTACCATTACTTGATCTCCAATCTCTTAACCCTCTGCTTTATCCCGTTGATTATCGTAACCCTAATCGAAGCCTCCCAAATGGACATTTACGACATTCAACAACTCTGGCTGCACCTCCAGTACAATCTCGTCTCCGTCATCATCTGCTCCGCCGTCCTCGTCTTCGGGTTGACCGTCTACATCATGACCCGACCCAGACCCGTTTACTTGGTCGATTACGCCTGCTACCGCCCGCCCGATCACCTCAAGGCACCGTACCAGCGCTTCATGGAGCACTCCCGCCTCACGCAGGACTTCGACGACTCGTCGCTCGAGTTCCAGCGTAAGATTCTCGAGCGCTCCGGCCTCGGCGAGGAGACTTATGTCCCGGAGGCGATGCATTACATCCCTCCCCGGCCGTCGATGGCCGCCGCCAGGGAGGAGGCGGAGCAGGTGATGTACGGTGCTCTGGATAATCTGTTTGCCAATACCCATGTGAAGCCAAAGGACATTGGGATTCTCGTTGTGAATTGCAGCTTGTTTAATCCGACGCCGTCGCTTTCCGCGATGATTGTTAATAAGTACAAATTGAGGGGTAATATTAGGAGTTTCAATTTGGGGGGAATGGGTTGTAGTGCTGGGGTTATAGCTGTTGATCTTGCCAAGGACTTGTTGCAAATCCACCGGAATACTTATGCTGTTGTTGTTAGTACTGAGAACATTACTCAGAATTGGTATTTTGGGAATAAGAAGTCTATGTTGATACCCAATTGCTTGTTTCGTGTTGGGGGTTCCGCGGTTTTGCTTTCCAATAAGTCCGTTGATAGGAGGCGGGCTAAGTACAAGCTTGTTCATGTTGTGAGGACCCATCGTGGCGCGGATGATAAAGCTTTTCGTTGTGTTTATCAGGAGCAGGATGATAAGGGGAAGACTGGTGTGTCTTTGTCGAAAGATTTGATGGCAATTGCCGGTGGGGCGCTTAAGACCAACATTACCACTTTGGGACCTATTGTGCTTCCTATAAGCGAGCAGCTTCTTTTCTTTTCATCACTTGTGGTTAAGAAGCTGTTCAAGTCCAACGTCAAGCCATATATCCCGGATTTCAAGCTGGCATTTGATCATTTTTGCATACACGCCGGAGGAAGGGCTGTGATTGATGAGCTGGAGAAGAACCTGCAGTTGCTGCCTACACATGTTGAGGCCTCTCGAATGACTCTACACCGGTTTGGGAATACTTCGTCGAGCTCCATTTGGTATGAATTGGCGTATATGGAGGCCAAGGGGAGGATCCGCAGGGGCAATCGTATCTGGCAGATTGCCTTTGGAAGTGGTTTTAAATGTAACAGTGCGGTCTGGGAGGCACTTCGGAATGTGAAGCCATCTTGTAATGGTCCTTGGGAAGACTGCATTGACAAGTATCCTGTGAAAGTAGTTTCCTAGCTCAAGAACATCATTCTGGTTCGACTCTCCATTCAGAGTTATCTATCATTACTAGCCTAACCACTCTATCTTGCATTTTTCACTTCTTGATCTTGTACTTTATTTGGTTTTTGTTGTATTAGATACTTGATGTTAAACTGTGATTTTTCTCTGCTCGATTCTCGCATATGTTCAGTCGTTTGTCCAGGGAAGTTACAATTTGTAGCATTGCTTATTTTTGTATTGAGAATGCTTCCAATTTACCATGTTGGATGTATCTCTATTTATATGTTAGCGTTTTAGAGTATACTTTTTCGATTTAGTTAATTCAGCTTGTATCAGGACCTCTGTCTTCAATAGTCAATAAAACCAATTCATTCAGATGAACATTGTGTGGACAGTAAAATTCTGATTGTGTTACCGCATTATACAAACTCTGCTGATGTTGAACTCTTGCTGTTGGACTCTCGATGTGAAAAAAACCTTAGCGATATCACACACAGACACATGAACATAACCACTGCTGAATTTCACCTACTTTGTATTCAATTACTAGAAGATAGTAGGACTGTTTTCTGCTTATGGGTGAGGAAATTTATAATTTTCCAATGCATATATCATACATTTTAGCATTTTACGCACTTTGGACGATCTTCATACTCATCCATTGTGCTTGTGATCTAATTAGGTATACTCTTGCATATGCTATATTGATATGGTTCACAAAGTTTGCTCCAACTACTAGAGGAAGAGAGTTCATGACAAGAAATTGAGTAGGTTTATCTCTGGTGTTCGTATCTATATCTGTAATTAGTGAGGTTTTAAATCTCAGTAGCTGGAATATAAGAGAGTGCATTCGTTCTTGCCTTCTGAATTCTGAAACTACTCAAATTTCAACGATGAAATTCTAGAACGGACCAAGATCCATGGCCGCGGGATCCTCAGCCAAAGATCCAATGCCTGAGGATCCGAAGGCCATAGATCCTGGTTCATGCTATGGGTAGGTCCTTACTGGACAAAACTCTACTTTCAAAGTTATATTGACTTTGTGAGGATGGCATTTAGTTGGCATTAGCTGTTGTTTTGCATATTATGTGTGGTGCAAGTCTATGTTGGTTGCATTTATTGACTAATAGATATTTTTATGCCCTTATATCCTGAAAAGTGGGCAACTGTTGCACATGCTTTTACCTAATTTCCACTCTTCAAATACCCATTTTTAAATAAATTTCGAATCTTTACCTTCAAAATAGAGACAAGAAGACATGGATAACGGAAGGAGGGTGTGTGTGCAGAGGCTGCACATGCCCTAGATTCTTCCCGTAGACATAGATCTCGAAATTTGAATTCATTTAACGATGAATTAGTTTGGAAAGATACAGATTTTAGAGTCTACTTAAATTGTTTTATGGACTGCACTATTTTATCAGGATCTCTTATCCGTAAAGCGTGGCACTGCTGTGGTATTTTAAATTAGTAATGCAGTGTCATGTGAGAAAGTTGGAAAACATGTCGTGGCGTTGTTAGTGTATACTGTTACGGCATATTGGGGTATTTGCTCATTTGGGAAGCAAGAGTGGGAATCGCACTGTGAAATAGTTCGTATCAATGACCATGCATCAAGTATTGGTGGTCGATCGTTTCAATTTATCAAGAGGAATTTTTGTGTCTTTTTACTTTTGTGTTGGAATCTACCAACGGACAGTTATTAGAATTCGCCGCCGACGACAAAGACTGGCGATTTTAACAAATCATTTTTAGTCTTTTGTGAGTGCAGAGAAATAATAAAAATGTTCGGTTTAGAATGCAGATGACTAAAAGAAGTTTTTGTCGATTATATTTTCATCAATATTTGTACAACTTAGTTTGTGAACTTTAATTTTCTTCAATTTGTAATAAAATGGAGTTCTCTTTAGAAAAGGAAACAGAAGTTGGGCAATTTCATTTCCAATGCTTCACTTGCGATCCAAACTACACTTACGGGAAAATACAATTTGGCGCAATGGTTCTTGAACTTATCTAAGAGTTTAATTTAGCTCCTCAACTCAAATTTGTATTTCCCATTGTCCTTCAATTCGGAAAGGGATCCTTTTCGGATCCCTTCCACCAAATCCTCCCAATCACCTAATCCGAACCCTTGAAATTTGATCCAACGGCTAAAGTTATTATAACTTTTAAATGAACCCCTTATTTGTAGCCGTTGAATCAAATTTCAAGAACTCAAATTGATTGATTGGGTGGATTTTGTGGAAGGGAAGGATCCCTTTCCCTTCAATTCGACCATATGTTACACCTGTATTCCTTATCGTTAATTTTTCTTTTCATCTTACGGGTATAGTGGGAATTTCACCCCACATCTTAAAAATTAATGTTAATTTGGAGCAACGAACATAATCCAAAAGTTGCATTCTTACCCTTACGTTTTACAGAAAAAGCGGACAGAAGTAGTAAATGCGCAAAACATGGTCGAGTTGAAGGGGTAAATGAACTAAAAAATGAGTTGGGGGGGCGAAAGTATAACTCGTAGATAAGTTGGGGACTATTGCTCAAAATTTCTTCCCGGTATTCCAATCACAAACTAACCGTAATAGTGGACCCTTGGGCCTAGGCCCAGTTATTCCAATGGTGCTCTGAATGTCATGGGTAGGGCAGGTTGTCAGCAAGACAACCCCAAAAATAGGATTTGGCTATTTAAACCTAAAATTAGAATACCAATTTGGTTTTTTAGTCAAAAAAAGTCTATGAGTTTGGCTTAACTCCTCACTTTGATCCCTAAAATTTAAAACCAATCGCAGTGGTCCCTGAGATTGTTCACTGTCAATCATTTTGGTCATTTCGTGAAAAATTTCCGTTAAATTGAGGGTATTTTTGTCAAATCAACTCCTTCACTTGAAATGGTACTTACTTCAATTTACAGATATTTTTCATATAAGGACAAAAATGATTGGTGGTAGACAATGTTATAGACCACTTCTATCAATTTTAAATCTTAAGGACCAAAGTGATGAGTTATTATAATCTTAGAGACCATTTTGACCAAAAAGCCTACAAATTTTAGAGTCTTGCTGTAATTTTTATCAGTATCTCTCGTTCACAAAGCTACGCCCCAATGACGGTATTCCAGACCAATAGTCCCAGGTGGCGGTATCCCAGACTAGTAAACTAAGGTTGTCCTAAAGACAATGGTCACAGTACAAATTGCCCGCCAACCTCTACTAAACCATGGAAAAACATGATATGAATTGCAATGACAAATAAACCCTTTACTAGTCTTTGTGAATTCAAAATCTCTACGCATGAATATAAAACCGGAAAGGTTTCATGACGGAAGAAATCTGCCGGCAGAGAAGGCATGGAAGCTCGTCGAGTTCTTACATACAAGAACTACATCGAGGGCGATGGAAAGTTTATGAATTCAATAAAACTATAAGAAAACTGTGAGTTTACAGCTATCTATTGAAAGATACAAAACAAGCAATGAAAGTAGCAACCGAACACGAAGTGCTGGCTGAAGAATGTCACGAAAACTGCACGCTTTGTACAGTTCCCGTAGGATAATCTCAAAACGGGACAGCAGAACTGGTTTCTTGCAACAGAAGAGAGCAAGTCGTATGCAAGAACGGTAAAGAAAAACTTATCTGAAGGACCATTGGATCTCTTCCAGAGTTCTCCCCTTTGTCTCCGGAACCCAAATGGCAACAAATACAACGGTGAAAGCACTCACCACCATGTAAATGGTGAAGGTTCCTGTTGAAAGTGGAACCAAAGACGTTAGCCCGAAAAAAAGTAACAGAGGAACAAAACTGCTAAACAGTACAACCAAGGAGGGAAAAAGGGGCAATTAACAGCAAGAGCAGCAGCAGCGACATCATCATTGATTTATTTCAATAATTGGGGTGCTCGACCGAATTATTTGGGATGTAATCACAGTTTTATTTAGACATGTTACCGGCTAGAGTGAAGGAGACAGAGAATAGAGAAAGAGAGAAGAGGGGGCACACCTCCACTGCTCCATTCCAGTAGCAAGTTTGCTGTCATCGTGATCACCCAGGCTACGAACCAATTGGCAAGTGTTGCTATGCTTCCAGCAAGGCCTTTAATATTAACTGGAAGAATCTGCATTGCCAAATTCGACAATTTATTAAATGTTCCAAAACAATATTCAGCAACTAGTTATAAGATTAAAAATTTCGTGCTCGATGCAAGACTCAAAACTCTACACCTGATACAACTATATCATTGACATACCTCAGACATTATTAACCATGGAATAGCTCCCAAACCAAGAGAGAATGCAATTACCATGGCCTGCAAAACAGTGTGAGATAATGGAAATTACGTATAGGAAAAAAAAGAAGCAGCACCGTCCTTTGACTTGTGATGTTAAAATATAAACATACCACAACTCCAACCACTGATATGATGCCCAATATGCTATAAATATTTGAATCAACATCGACAAAATCCTGCGATCAGTGGAATTCCTTTTGAGAATATACACAAAAGCACATAGCCTTAAGAAATTTGTACAAATACGATAGATTCAATACCTTTATGTAGAATGCTATCGCAACAATGAGGAGGAAAATTGTCATTCCAACAGATGAGATCTACAATGAAAAGAGTGATTTTTCTCCATCTAATCCAAACAGATAATATACAAGTGACTCAATATTGACAATAGAAAAAAAGACGTCAAACTCACAATAAGCAAAAGACGACGGCCTGCTTTGTCTGCCAACCATGTAGTCACGCCAGTCGCTATGACCTAAAGTGCATACAGATTCTTGTTATGTTTACAAACTGAGAATATTGAGTGAGAGAAGAAACAAATTCTGAAGTTATCTTCTTGCTGTACCTGAACAGCACCGAGACCAACTGTGGCTACGTTACTTGAAGAAATCCCTGTTCAAACACTAAAACTAATAAGAACAATTTCAGATTAAAATAAATCTGACTTCAAGTCAGTTTTCCACTATGTACATGTAATACAGGTATCTATGAGTGTGCTAAATACACAATAATAAGGTTGTACATATACACACTTCCTGGTGCCTGGTGTGTCAAAGGAAACAAGTAACAAATGATATGAAAGTATTAATATGGTTCCGTAGAGCATACAAATATATTCTTTCATATATGAGGGGCAACTTACCGGCAGTTGCAAAAATGGTACTGGAATAGAATAGAACACCGTTAATTCCACTTAGTTGTTGAAGAACAAGTAAACCAATTCCAATCTGCAATGCAACAGTTTGTGAAAACAGTTAGGTTTTGACATATAGATCACATTTTGGACTAGAGGACAGTATTAGAGAATCAACTTTTTTGGACTATAGCAAATACCATTAAAGGAAGCCAATATCTTCTTTGTTTGAGTTCTGCAA